TAAAATAAAATAAAATAAAATAAAATAAAATAAAATATAAAGAGGTTTCTTTCTAGGTGGTAGAATTATATGTGATTTTGTGTGTGTGTGCTTTTCTGTATTTTGAAGTTTTCCTTTTCCCATAATGGACATACATTATTTTGAAATAAAACTTTTTTTCACTTTTAGAATAATGTAGTATTCACTAATAACAAGAAGGTGAGGGAACTACTAATTTTATTTATGAAAACAGTGGGTTAAGATGCTATTCCTTTAATATTCAAGATGCCAACTTTTCATCAGCAGATCCTGATTTAATGTGATATGGCAAGGGTGCCTGGTTGGCTCAGTTGGTAGAGCATGTGACTCTTATCTTGAGTGAGTTTGAGCCCCACAATGGGTAAGGCCTCCTTTAAAAGAAAATATGACATGGCAAACCACAAGCTGAAAAAAATTTCTTTTGTATTTGTTTTTTCTGTGAATTGCTGATTTATATTCTAGTCCATTTTCTTACAAGACTTTCTTTTTTAAACAAATTTGTTTTATAAAAATATTTTTTTTATTTTTAACAGAGAGAGAGAGAGAGAATGAGAATGAGAGGGGTAAGGGCAGAGAGAGGGAGATACAGAATCTGAAGCAGGCTCTAGGCTCTGAGCTGTCAGCACAGAGCCTGATATGGAGCTCAAACTCACGAACTGTGAGATCATGACCTGAGCTGAAGCTGGAGCTCAACCCACTGAGCCACCCAGGCGCCTCAAGACTCTCTTGATTTTTTTTTTTTAATTTTTAATTTTTTAGTGTTTGTTTATTTTTTGAGAGAGACAGAATGTGAGTAGGGGAGGGGCGGAGAGAGAGGGAGTCATAGAATCTGAAGCAGGCTCCAGGCTCCAAGCTGAATGTAGGACTTGAACCCATAAGCTGTGAGATCATGACCTGAGCTGAAGTCAGCTGCCCAACCAACTGAGGCACTCAGGCGCCCCAAGACTCTCTTAATTTAAAAAATTATGCACAGTAAGTCTCTGGTTGCTTATATGTGCTGCAAATATTTTTCTCTTGTCTGCCTTCTGTATTTCTTATTTGTTAATGGAGTCTTTTGCCAATCAACAATTTTTAACTGCTCCAATCTATAGATTTTTTTCTGTCCTTTTTTGGCTTCTGGTTTTAATTCGAACTTATTAAAAAGGCTTTCTCTACCTCTGTAGCCCTGAAAGTATTCTTCTATTTTATTTTAGTACCTTCATTATTTTTTATCTTTTACATATCCAGTACATTGGAAATACATTTTGATATTTGGTGGTGAAGAGATACAGCTTTTTATATTCCACTAAGTAGAAATATTAATTAGGTCCACCCTTTCTCCCCACTGATCTAAAATGCCAAGCTTTGCTACGTACTGAATTCCATAAATTCCTGGGTCTGTTTCTGGACCACCAATTTAAAAAAAATTGATTTATGTGTTTACTGTTGTGCAAAAACAAAACTATTATTTGTGTTGGATAATTCCGTAACTTTATAATCACCAAACAGCATCCTATTAGTTAATTCTGTAATTTATGGGTTTTTTTTGTTATTCTCAAGCATTAACTCTTCCAAATAAGCTTCCAAGTAATACTGGATAACAAAATAAAACAAACAAACAAAAGGAAAAAAACCCAAAAATCCCAAGGAAAGGCAACTGCACTGAGATTTAAATAAAAGAAATGCAACATCTTTACAATACTGTTTCCCATCCAAGAAAAATGTCTCCATTTATTCAGTACTTATTTTTATGTCCTTTAAATAAGACTGTATTGGGGCGCCTGGGTGGCGCAGTCGGTTGGGCGTCCGACTTCAGCCAGGTCACGATCTCGCGGTCCGTGAGTTCGAGCCCCGCGTCGGGCTCTGGGCTGATGGCTCGGAGCCTGGAGCCTGTTTCCGATTCTGTGTCTTCCTCTCTCTCTGCCCCTCCCCCGTTCATGCTCTGTCTCTCTCTGTCCCAAAAATAAATAAACGTTGAAAAAAAAAAAAAAATTTAAAAAAAAAAAAAGACTGTATTTTCTTCATTCATATTTTTCACATTCCTAGTTGGGTCAACTTACTCAATTTCAAATGCTATTTTAAAAGGAAAAAATAGGGGCACCAGGGTGGCTCAGTCGGTGTTCATTTTCAGCTCAGGTCATGATCTCACCATTTGTGAGTTTGAGCCCCGCATTGGGCTCTCTGCTGTCAGGGCAGACCCCACTTCGAATCCTCTCTTTCCCTCTCTCTGCCCCTCCACCCGTTTGCATGCGTGCACATGCTCTCTCTCAAAAATAAAACAAAACATTAAAAAATAACAATAAAAGGAAAAAATATAGTAAAGAAATTACACACGGTACCTTTTCTAAAGCAACATGTAGTTCTTTTTCACATTCTGGTGGCAATCTCAAAAGTAGAACCTGACAGGCATCTTTAATCAGTGGAACAACACTGAGAAATATTAATACGGCAATAAAAAGAGAACAGAGGGGATCAGCAATGAACCATCCAAACTGCTCTATAAGAACTGTGGATACGATCACACCAATACTGCCAAGCGTGTCTGCCAAAACATGTAGAAATACACCTGCAAGTAAAACACATGAAAACATTAAAAATTAAAGCACATCTAATTTAGTTCTTTTATCCATTTTATAAACAATACTGGGTATCTACTATGCACCAGAAATTCTGCTAGGGGATGGTACTTAAAAAAAAAAACCAACAAAAAACAAGGTCACTACTCTCAAACAATTCACAGACCAGTGGTAAAGGGAAAATGTAGGCAACGGTAACAGAGAGTGTTAAGTTTTATGATGGTGTGGTTTTCCTAGAAATCACACATGAGCCAAGTTTTGACATTACGCAAATTACTTCTATTAAACCATCAGAATATATAATTTAACACAGTAAGTGATAAAAATTCTCCCATGTATATTTATAATACAATAAAAATTTCCTGGTTCTTTTGTAGTGAAAGTTCATAATGACACACTCAGTGTTCCCGTTCCAAATAATATTTATGCAAATGTCACAGGAAAAGGACTCTATAATAATCTGTTTAAAAATTGACATTTATGAACCAATGTGAGCATTTTCTACAACAGATGACTTTATTTATTTATTTTTTAACCACAGATTGTTTTACAAAAATAAAGCTGTACCAGAAGCCTAATACTTAATACAAGTAAGACAGTGTCAATTCAGAACACAACTGAAAGGTAGGACAATATTTGGCAAGGACTCACCCCTCATGTTAGCATTCATGCCTCTGCCTGCAGATCCGTGGCTGTGACCATGTCCGTGGTCACTGTGTCCATGCATATGGTGGGAATGGCTGTGATCAGATGAATGACAGCTTCCCTGAGAAGCTCCATGGTTATGGTTATGGGCATGGCTAAAGGCACAGATACCAATAAGGTTTACTATCAGCCCTCCAACTGAGACTGGCTAGTAAAAGGAGAAAAGAAAACCTTCAATTTGTAGTTAAAAAAATAAATTTGTTACTTAAAAGTTACTACAGATCTAAATGTTTTTCTGTTTATGGTTTTAAAAGTATTTATGGTAAAACCTCACAAAGTTCAATAAGGAAATTCAGAAATTTTATTTACTTATTAATGTAGTTTTGTTTGGAAATCCAAAATTTTTAAAAATCGGATTTTTGAGTATTTTAGAAGAAACATTTTTAACTTCCAAAAACCAAAGTTTTGGCAAGTAGAAGGATTTGGACTTGCTTTAAGCAAGTGATTAAGAATAATAAGCACTTGGGGCGCCTGGGTGGCGCAGTCGGTTAAGCGTCCGACTTCAGCCAGGTCACGATCTCGCGGTCCGTGAGTTCGAGCCCCGCGTCAGGCTCTGGGCTGATGGCTCGGAGCCTGGAGCCTGTTTCCGATTCTGTGTCTCCCTCTCTCTCTGCCCCTCCCCCGTTCATGCTCTGTCTCTCTCTGTCCCAAAAATAAATAAATTAAAAAAAAAAAAAAAAAACGTTGGAAAAAGAATAATATGCACCTGGTTCATGGTTTATGAATAAATAATTATGCTAAAGTTTTGTTTTGTTTATTTAAATAGAGTTTGAAAGTACTGCTTAAGTATACACTGTAGTTGAAATCTCATTTATATTACTAGGTAAATTTCAGTTTGTAAGGCAATGATTATAATTTACTAACTAGTAGATTCCAAATACATACAGTCTTATTGTGTCTTAAATACAGTAAAATTTGCCAAAGTAAAAAAAAAAGTATAATGGAAAAGCAAAGATATAAATGGCATTGTCTGGATTTAATAATGCCACAACAACATCCTAAAGGATACATAAAGTTACTTATCCTTGATTATCCTTACAAAATGATTTTGGGTAATAGTTAAGGGTGTTATTTAATTTATGTACGTCTACAATTTCTCCTTCAGAGAAATTCATTTGATTTATAAAAAGAATATATAAAAATAACGGGTACAGATAATTCTAATCAATTTCCAAAGGATGTAAGAGAAGAGATTTACTTTAGTAATCATATATGGAAACTATGTATTTCTTATTGTGGCTCATTTGTTTGTCAGACTTTAAAATTTTAGTTAGCTTTATGAGCTTGAAGATGGTTACTGAACTTTGAATTAAATCAAATACTGCATAAAGAGATCCCCATCATCTCAACTACTTGTCCTCTAATGATAAATACTTCATTTGTATAGATTTCACCAGAAAAAAAAAACAACATAGAAAGTATAATCCCCCATATAATTCTAACCCTGAGTTAGTCACTAAGAGAATAGTGTACACTCTATGCATGTACTAAAATACATACATCAATCCCCTTTTAAACCAATAATAGCATCATGTTATAATACTGCTTTGGAAAATTTTGTTTAACTTAGTACAGCTTACAAATATTTTTCATGCCTGTATATACAGACGTGCCTCATTCTTCTTACTGGGCACCTAGTTTTCTATAAACAACATCTTTATTTAATTAGTCTTTTTATTGATTTTTTTCGCCATAATGAACAATGGCACAATGAATCATGCACCTTTACACACCTGTGCAAGTATTTCTGTAATAAATATTAAAGGTTAAAGGATGTGAGCATTTAAAATTCAAAATATATTTCCAAACTGTAATCCAAACCATTTTACTAACATATACTTCCACCAACCAGATTCATAACTACAAGCCAGGTGCTAGAATTTAACACTTAATAATAAACCATTCAGGTCCCCAAGATACTTCACTTACATCTTTAATTGTGGAAGAATGACAAAGGAGTTAACTCAATGTTGCTTAAAAAAAAAAAAAAAAAAAAGCAAGATACAATGCGAATAGTGAGAAAGGGAAAAATCTAAGAAACTGAGGAAGGAAGACAGGAGTTAAGGGAAAATCTCTCACTTGAGACAACAAGCAAAGTCTTGAGGAAGGTGGAAAGGCAGATGTGAGGGAAGGGCATGCCAGCTTCAAGAAACAGCACATATAAAGGTAAGGCAATACAGGGAGAACATTAAAAATTTCTAACAGTAAATAATCTGTAAGATAAAGCCTTTAAAATGATAGTATTTTTCTGATTCGCTAACATTTTGCAAATTTCCTCAGGTATTTAAAAGCACATCTTGGGGCACCTGGGTGACTCGCAAGTGTGGAACTTTTGATTTTGGCTCAGGTCATATGTCGCGGTTTGTGAGATCAAGCCGCACGTCGGGCTCTGCTCTGACAGCCAGAGCCTGCTTGCAATTTTCTCTCTTCCTCTCTCTCTGCCCCTCCCCCATCCATGCTTTCTCCCTTTCAAAATAAATAAACATTAAAAAAAAAAATAAAAGCACATCTTCATACAAAAACACTGGATAAGTCAGAAAGATATCTGTTATGTATTAGAATGTCATCTAATATTCTGACTGCTAAAATATGAGAGAAAAGGATTAATTTCTAGGAGTCAGCAGTGTAAATGTAAATACAGGGTCAAGAGCTTATGTTAATTTAAATTATAAAAATAAAGTAAAACCTTCCTACATCAATAATTACAGGTAGTTAAACTTTAGCATGGAGAAAGCTAAAGGGGTTATGAGTAGAAAATCAAACAGGAAAAAAAGAGACTTACTGTTAACATGTGTGTGTCTAATTCCGGAGGATCAATTAATCTAGCCACTGACTCCATAAACACAAAAAAAGCTATTACCATTAGAAAAAGTCCATTAATAAATCCAGAGAGAATTTCTATTCGGCCATACCTAGAAATGTAAAAAATATTTTTAGAAAGGAAAATGACAAATATTTTTATTTTATTTTTATTTATTTATTTAAATTTTTAATGTTTATTTATGAGAGAGACAGGGTGCGAGCAGGGGAGGGGCTGAGAGAGAGGGAGACACAGAATCCAAAGCAGGCTCCAGGTTCCGAGCCATCAGCACAGGGCCTGATGTGGGGCTCGAACTCACAAATGGTGAGATCATGACCTCAGCCAAAGTAGGCCGCTCAACCCACCCAGACGCCCCTACAAATATTTTTAAAGCATAAACATTATTATGTTACAAAAGAGGATATATAAGTCTAGATCTTCAATTATGTACATAATTAGTAAGACTAGAAAATTATCAAGATTTTAAACACCACACCAATGCTGAAAGAGTCTTTCTGTATATGTTTGTTAAAATTTTAAATATTTATCAAAGTCCTTCTTCAATGTTCTCTCTTATACAAGGCCTTGCCTAATTTATTAGCAAGAAGTTACTTCTCTCTCCTTTAAGCCTTTGATGGGCTCTGTACCTCTGTCACAACACACAGATTCTGCTTTGTACCAAAATTATTTGTATCTTTGGCCCCTCTGTCTTTCAGAATATAAACAGTTGAAAATAGCTGAATTTATCAATCTATTTAGGGTCTTATCAAAATTCATCATATAAATCAGGGATTTTAGTATTTGTTGAAATGAATTCAGTTGAAATGAATTCAGTTAATGAAAGGGCATTTCATGCATAGCCACTTCAAAGTTTGAATACTGTTTATAACAGCAAAGATGTGAATGACCATGCACATTCCATTGTCTCAAAGAAACTGTTAGGCAAAGAGCTCAAAATCTAACTAATTTTTGCTACCTCCATGTAAGATGGATTTGGCAGAGAGTATAATCTTGAGCTCACTGCCATTCAGTATCATGCTTGGTTTATTTCCTCTTACTTAATTCAAATTAAAGAAAAAAAAAGCTCTGAAAAATTATTTGTATTAAAAGTAATACAATTGTATTTTCTGGGGTGCCTGGGTGGCTCAGTGCATGGGGGGCCAACTCTTGATTTCAGCTCAGGTAATGATCTCATCAGGCTCTGTGCTAACAGCATGGAGCCTGCTTGGGATTCTCTCTCTCCCCCTCTCTCTGCCCCTCCTCCACTCACGCATGCATGCATATTCTCTCTCCCTTTCAAAATAAATTAAAAAAAATTTTTTTTTTAAATTTTATTTCCTAAGATGGAATTTGCCCTGAGAATTTTTTCATTTTGTTACATCACCTTGATGGTCAAGGTACCTACCCATAGGAGAAAATCCGAGTAGCTTTCCATCTACTCATCAGGGCTGCAAAAAGTCCCATGACCAAAGCAGAGCAGTCAAAGAGCATGTGAAATCCATCTGAGATCAGACCCAGACTATTGGTCAACACTCCATAGAATAATTCCACAAAGGTAAAAAGCTAAAATATGTTTAAAGACAAATAGGGGAGGAATGTGTTGGGAAATACTGTTTCAATACATTTATCAGAATGCAATCATGACAATTTTAACCGTTTATTACACAAACCTTACTTGATGATATAACTGCTATTTTATTTCATTTCATATAAACTGTTAAGATACTAAATCAGATAGGTTCATCTTACACATCATTTAAAAGGAGACAGTTTCATTTATATGACTGTAGAACTCAATAAACTAGGCTACAAAAATGTTAGCACTGTGGTCTGTAGTGAGATCCTGTAAGAAGTAGATAAAAATCTTTACAGGATACTATATTTACTGATTTGAAATAGTACACTAAACTGATGCAACTAAAATGCCTCAAAAGTTGCATAAGTAGTCTGAATATGATCCTGTAATCTTCCTATTACTTACAGAAAATATAGTTTTAGCCCCTGATGATCAAAATTTTGGTAATTACTAAAATTCTACCAGAAATATCAAAATTAAAAGATTAAACTTTTTAAGGTATGTCATTAATATTTAAAAATCTTACCAGATTCAAGCACAAGAAGTAAAAGATCTGCCTAGAGTCATTTTCCTCAAGAATTTGTTTTAGTGATTCCTTAATAAACCTAGGGATCGATTGGGAGCTATGCTGAAAAGCATCACCCATGAAGTTATAAAGAGGTGTTCCTTCAGGAGAATATCCAATTAGAGTGCCTTTCTGTCCTCTCTTAGAAGGAGATGATAAGATGTTGGCAGCTAAAAAAAGGAAAAAAAACCCATGAACATTATAAAAGCTTTAAAAGCTTAAGCTACCAAACCAACACCGTACCTGTCAGCACTAAATGCAAGCACTGAACAAATTCCCAAATTAAGTAAATGACTTCCACACCAGAATCCATAAGATGAAATTTCCTAAGGGGAAAAGTGCTCACACAAAATGAAGAATATAGCGCTCACTACCACTCCTCCGGACAGGACGTGTTCAGTGCTTTCCTGGTGTGCTGCTCTGTTCATAGCTCGAAGCTGGTCTGTTATTGGATGTGTCCAAAAGTTTCCAAAGAGTAAAGCACTAATGAAAATGGGAAAGGATCCATAGCGGGCACATTTGGAAACTTCCATTTTGACTGAACAAACAGAATCGACATAGAAATCCAGGATCATGACAAAAAAGATAACTGTTGTGAAAGGCATAATGAGAGAAAACCAAGACTCGACTTTACTCTAGGAATTAAACAGAGAAGAAAAAAAGAAATTGTCAGTACTGCACAGGTATAAAGTTCATATCTTATGTTTTAGTTAATCTCTTTATATATAAACAAATACTGTGATTAAATATGATTCATAAAATGCCAAAATATAAGAGATATAAAATATTACTGCATTTTCCTAGTAGTCCCCAAAGTATTAACAAACAAAAGCATTATGGTTTAATAATTTTATAAATACTAAGTGATCCACAATCCTTGTGTATAAGTAACACATGGTTAAGTATTAAATTGTGTCTTTTTTTTAAAATAAATTTTTTTTTTTTTTGGAACCGC